TTTAGAATTTTTTTAATTCATTTAATACATTTATTAAATAACATGTAAAATATCTAAAAATTAAAATTAAAAATACAGTGTTTAATAAGAACTAGTAGATGCTATGATAAATAATTTTGAAAGTACAATGATGTAGTAAGAAAGTCACATCACTATAGTACACGTGGACAACCTACGTGGACAATGAGGTGGCATGAAAACCTAGTATAATAGGTAAATTTAAATCAAAAGGTTACCCAATGCTATAATGGGTAAAGTTTTCAAAGTACAATGTCTTAATAAAAAATAGTTTGAAAGTACATTGCTGTAATAAGAAAAACTGAAAGTACAATGTTATAATAAAGAAATTTATGAAAGTAGATTGCTATTTTGTGCATTTTACCCTATTTATTTTGTCAAACTTCCCGGTTATTCACTTAACTTGGCTTAAAATTTCTCTCAACATTTCATGAGATTATTTGAATATCTCGTATCAATATCTCATTTGTATATCTTTAGTCAACAACTTGACGTTAACAACATATCCAAAAACTATGCTAAAATAAAGAAAAAATGAGAATTTAACAATTTTTTGTTCCAAAAGTTATGTCATCTTGTATGCTAAAATAGTGAAAATAATAAAAAGAAGGTAAAAATCTGTAAAATTTGAGAAATCTTTAAAACTTCATATTGAAAAGACAAAAATAATATTTAATTCATTCTCGCCGACATGAGACATCGAAATTAAATATTTAGAGAGAAATAATATCTTATTAAATGTGTTAAATATTTTAATAATATAATTAATGATATAATTGTCAAAAATGGAATAACTGTCAGAGTTGAATGTAATTTTTTTAAAGATTTTAACTTTTAATACTTTATATTTTAAAAAACTATAGCATAGCTATTGGATGTATTCTAATATCCAATTCCATGACATATAATTTCTTTGATTGAAGTATCTATACTATATTGTTAAGCATTTGACAAAAACTTTTAAAAACCATTTTTTATACATGAAGTACTGTTTATTGATGTATTTTACTTGAAATTTAAGATTACAAGTAAATTATGCGCAAATACAACTTATTAAAGCTTCATGTTTGAATTCATGTAATTAGCTGTAGATAAACATAATCAAATAGATAATAAACATCTCATTTTAAATATAAAAAATCTGAAATATAATTAGGATAATCATTGAGTTCTAATAAAATACTTAATTATTATCTTTATAAAAAATCATATTATTAAAACAAAAATAAAAAATAAATTAAAGAAATACACAAAGAACGATAAATTATAAATAGTTAGTTTGGTACTAATATTATTATTTTTTTCAAATTTTTATGATATCTTTATATTTATATTTTATTAAAAAATAAAAACATTATCGCTTTTTCACAACCACATAAAACCGTATTATAACATTGACTGAGACAAAAAATAAAATAACACGAAACACTAAAATTGAGATGTATTTCGTTGCATTGTACGAATACCCTTCTCTGTCGATGTTATAATACGATTTTATGTGTTTTTAAAAAGTAATAATGATTTTATTTTTGAATAAAATATAAATTTGAAGATATCATAAAAAGTTGAAAAAAATATATCAATGTTAATATGAAATCAACTATTTAAAAGTTCTTATTTTTATGTAATTTCTTTAATTTATT